ATCATTCCTATCAGATCCACTATTCATTTATTAGGCTTAATGAAACTTATCATATTTGATACTTAATCATTCTGCTAAAAAAAATCGAAAGTGCGCAGAAAATTCTGGACGCTAATGTGGAAGAGCTGAAGAGAGGCGGCTTGCGGTTATTGCAAAATGAGTAACGCATCAAAACCCGTCAACACGAAAACAAACCCCTTTACGGAAAGATTCAATGAAACCAGACTGACAAGCAAAACCTGTTTCCTTCGTTCCAAATCAAGAAAAGCTAGCTGCTGTTGGTATGCCCAACATGAAGTTGTCACCTCAAACCTGTTACAAATTATGTGCTAAAAAGATAATGGGCTTGTCGGAAAAAGTGAATTTTAACCCCTGGGATTTTTTTTTTTGCGTAAATGTGGCGGGACCATTTTCCCCTCCCCCTCCCTCCCGTGATCCTGGATATATATACATATACACAATGCGTAAGATCCGGAATGTGGAGATTGGCCTACATCCACCGGCACAGCCGGACAAGGTCATACCCCGTTTCCGCTCTTAATTAGTATTCTTTTATTGATTTTTTTTTTTTTAAATGAAAATAATTTTGCATTGCTCAGAGCTCAATAGGTTGACTTTCACTCAAAAATGAGGAGGACATACCGCTGTATTCGGCTGTGCTCCGTCATCGTTTAGCTGTGCGGATTTTGTTCCACGAAGAACAGCCATTTCTGATTTGCAGATTTCGAGTTCGCCATGCAACGCCGACAACACTTCATCCTGCTTCTCCAGCAGCGTCAGCAGCTCGGCTGAGGTCGGTTCTGAATGCTCGCATGATCAGAAAAACAAGCTTTTAGTAAAATATAGCAAAGGAGCGCATACCACTGCACCGAAATTACTGTAGTTACAAACATGCATATATAGAAATCCACAATGAAAAATGGTACTCCACAAGTAAGCTGGACTTCCAGGATATTGCTCTGGATGAAAGACATATAGCATGCAAATAGCAATGGAAAAGAACAACGGCCTATCTCGTTACCACCGCAAACGACAAAAGTGCATCCCCGCCGCAAAGTGTGTCATCTAAAGTGAAGGAAGTGAAAAAAATCGAAATTTCCAGAGTTGTCCTGGAAGCCAATTGTTTTCCAATCTTCTGCACCCCTACCTCTTTGTTTGCAAAATTTGCAAGTCCTGAGGCAGCCTTGCTGTTTTGCAGAGTACACTGTGTCGAGTGTTGCCATAAAGGATCCCTGAACTTTGCGGTTAAAACTGACCCATGGAGACACCTGTGCCCAC